ACAGTAGGTATTGTCAATCATTTAGTCTTATCAATCTGATAAGTAAAAGTCCGTACCTCCTCTTAACTTGTATTTATTTCTATGAAGGGTTGAGCATGTTTTAATATGTTTACTAGTGGTTTGTACTTCCTTTATAATGAAATGCCTGCATAAACACCTTACTATTAGAGTCTAGAAGAATATCACCAACAGCTGTTATTGAGTACTGCTTTTGGTTCTGTCCAAAATTCTTCCAGGAACTTTAAAATCACTCTGCTACAGCCCTACCGGTCTGGCTCAGTGGATAGAGCGTCGGCCTGTGGACTGAAGGGTCCCAGGTTCAATTCTGGTCAAGGACATGTACCTTGGTTGTGGGCACATCCCCGGTTGGGGGTGTGCAGGAGGCAGCTGATCGATGTTTCTAACTCTCTATCCCTCTCCCTTCCTCTCTGTAAAAAAAATCAATGAAATACATATTTTTCATTGAAAAATATATTTTTCTTCAAAAATATAAAAAAATGATTCTGCTACATTTGTATGTTTTTTTAAAGGTAACCGCTCTAATGCAGAATAAAAAGCCAAATAACACTTGCGTTTATAAACTAAGACAATAGTAAAATGTGGAGCCATGAAGCAAGCTAACAGCATGGGCACAAATGTTTGTGAGTCTGTATGTAAAAATGTGAGCATGGCAAGAACTGGCTGAAGATCCCTGGGGCAACACAGACCCAAGCCAGACTCCACCTGCTCTTCCAGGACACGTTTGCCAGTTGGCTGCCTGGGGGTCAGGGGGGAGCTCCTGGTCTACTGGCCAACCGGCCTGGTCTGCACGGAAGCCCACTCGTGTCAGAGAAGAAAAGGCATAATGGCACATCCCCAAAGGCCAGAACACGGAGCTCTCTCAGGATCAAGGAAAGGAGAAACTGTGCCTCCAAGTGAAGAAGGCACTGGAAGCTACGTGGACCCCTTTTAACTGTTCATATTTGGATGCTACTCATTTGCAGGAAGCAATGTTTAAACCAAGTCTCAGGACATTTTTACACCCCACTTCTGAATCCTGACTTAGACAACATTGCCTTCCTTTAACTCTATAGGGGAAGTTTGGCTGCCCTTCACATTTTTGGTAACTTTAGCAATATTATTAAAATAAACTCTTTATAAAGATATGCATACTGGCATTGATATCCAAAATTAACTACTGCTGTTAATGGACATTATATGTGGTCTCAACATTCTGCATATGGTCTTGCAAACAGGAGGCTCAACTTAATGAGAGAATAAATGGCTATAATAAATTGATGTACCAGGTTGGTACGTCAATTCATACTGTGCCTCAGTATCTTCCTTTATAAAACAGAATAACTGTACCTCCTCATAGACTTTTGTAATGACTAAATTAGATCAGATATTCAATACAAGGTAATTTTAAAATAGAACTACCAACTACCTTTATTAATACACTAAATTTTAAAAGATCAAGGATGATAAATTTATAGAATATATTCTTTATTATGAATAGAATTTCTAAAATTAATCAATGTATAAAGAAACACTTGTTACAGTTCAATATACAGGGTGTCCCAAAAAATATATACACACTTTGAATAATTATTAATTCCAATGGGTTAAATCTGAAAAGAAAGAAACATCAATTGAGCTATCAACTGTTAAGTGTGTATACGTTTTTTTGGGACATCCTGTATTAATCCCACCAATGTATGTTCAACAGCAGAAAATCAGTATTGTGATAGAGACTGGAAAGAAACAAAAGTAAGAACACACGTTACGTGGTCCTTATGAGAGGTAATTACAAAGATAAGAAGTACTCTTTGCTGAAACATTAAAATGTTTATGGTTGAAAAAGATGAAACACCAAGACACACAAAATGGACTGGAGATTGGAGAATGTTGCCTAGAGAACAGAGTTAGTATGTGGTTGCTAGGCAATGAGTTTCCAGGCGACAGCAACTTCTGATTGCAGCAGTGTGCTGCTCCTATAAATGATACTACGCTTGGACAACTTTAGAATCCTTTTGTAACACCTTTTCTCATACATAAGCCTGAGCTTAGACTGACAACATAGGGAACAGAGTTCTATATAAATGTATATTTTTTAGACTATGTAATTTAATCTGCCTCTCCAATATTTTAATGCCACTCTTTTAAAAGATAAAACATGCCAACCCTGGCTGGGTAGCTCAGTTGGTTAGAGCACTGTCCCAATACACCAAGGTTGCGGGTTCGAGTCCAGTCAGGGCACATACAAGAAGCAACTAATGAATGCATAAATAAATGAAACAACAAATCTGTGTTTTTTCTCTCTTTCCCTTTATCTCTCTAAAATCAATAAAATTAAAATATAAAACATGCCAGAGGTAAGTCAGAAAGAATAGATCTACTATACGTAAAGAGAAAATCCAAAGGAATATGATTATTCAAAACATTAAAAAGGCAACATAAACTGTAATAGAGTGGTTTTTTTAAATCTCAAAAAATGTTCTAGTAAGAATAAGAACCAGCCTAAGAAAGACTCTAGTAAAATTATGTCATTGTGTAACTGGGTGGGGATAGAGTGTGGGGTAGTGTGAATTTGTTACATTTGCATATTAGACATGGCATTTGTAGTAGGCAAACTCATCTTCACAGTTGAATATGAATTTATCATTCTTGAAGACATGTGTCACAAACTCAAAGATGATGAAAGGGTTTTATGATAAGGAGGAATAAATGGGCAGCATATATTTGGATTTTATTTTAGATTGTAATTCCACACTTGCATAATTTTTAATAAAGATTTTTAAAATAAGTTTTAGGTTCTCAGCAAAATTAAGAAGCTACAGAGATTTCCCATCTGCCCTTACCGCACTGATGCACAGCCTTCCCCATTATCCAATCCCCACCCGGAGTGTACATTTGTTACAACTGATGAACTTCTATTTGCACACCACCACCTAAAGTTGGTATTTGCCATCAGGGCTCCATCTTGGTGTACATTCTATGGGTTAAACAAGTGTACAGTCACATGCTAGTGGCACAGAGCTGTTTCCCTGCTCTAAAGCCTCTGTGCTCTGCCTGTTCATCTTCCTTCCTTCCTTTCTGTCTCTATAGTTCTGGCTTTTCCAGGTTGTCATATAATTGAAATCACTCAGGATATAGCCCTTTCAGGTTGGTTCCTTCATTTAGCAATATGTACTTAAGGTTCTTCCATGTCTTTTCATGGCTTGATAGCTCATTTTCTGTTTAATGCTAAATAATACTCCATTGTTTGGAGGTACCAGTTTATTAACCCATCACCTACTGAAGGACCTCTTGGTTGCTTTCAAGTTACAATTATGAAAAAATCTGCTATAGGCATCCTCGTGCAGATTTTGTGTGGACATAGCTTTTAATTTGCATAGTTTTTTTTCTTTATCAGTTTACTCATCTAGCTCTTCCACCACTCTTTAAATTCTCTAGAGTAAAGACCATAGGCCATTTATCTTTCTATTTCCAGGTCCTAACAGGAAGGGCCTGGGTATATGATAGGTTCTCAATAAATGTTGGTTGAACATGACAGACTGAATCAGACCAATGCTATTCAAATAAGTACGTTATTAGAAAGTAGTGAATCACGAGTTCAGACTCCAAATATTTGGGGATGAAGGAGTGACAACATATAGAGTAGATATTTAAAAGGTCAGCGCAAGATAGACTGCACAGGAAACAAAAGCATGCTACACTAGCATAGGATTTTAAAAGTTATTTAAAAAAAGATTGGCAAAAATATATTGGAGTAGGGCCACATGAGTACATCATGGGAACAATACATCCTTGGTTTATTAAATGAATTTAAAATATTCAATTTCAGTGGCTCTAAAAACCTATTCATACTTGGGGAAAACTGCTGATCTTAGGTATGACAGTGGTCTCTGAGTTCAATTCCTCTTTTAATTATTTCTGTATGTTCTGGTGCCCAGCACAATGCCTGGCACATCATAGTAGTGCTTCATACATACTTGTTGAACTGCTATAGGCAGAATTGTCATTTTAATTGGGTAACACAATGTACACCGATTTCAAAGCCCATGAATGTGATAAACTGCACAATGAGAACCAAGTAAAGCTCTCCATGATGCCCTTGGTAAAAATCACCCAGACCTTTTTCATCTATTAAGTGGAAAACAAAAAAAAAAATTTAATATTAATGAGGCTGTGTGAAAAAAATAAGATACATCTGATATACTGGTAAGAGTATAAATGAAAAAATATTGTTGAAAAGCAAAATTTCCTCTTTAACAAATTACTTAAAACAACAATTAAAAATACAATTGAAAATTAGTATACAAAGGTGTTCACTAAGGGTTTTTAATAGTAATAAAGTTAAGAGCATATGTCCAATACAGTATACATCATCCATATGGTAACATATGACTATTCATTTTAAAATTGTTATTAACAAAAACTTTGTGATTATTAGGAGTAAAGTCAAATGGGTTTACTCCATCTTGTTCAGAACCCAAACCCTGTCACTTATTTTTGGTGTAAATTTTGTGTCTTATCACTCTCTACCCTGTATTTCCAGAGGAGCTGCCTGGGTTATTAACTCTTGGCCTAACAGAGTGGCATGTAGACATGTCTTTTACGTTTAGTAGCTGTAAGAAACTGTTGATACAACTTCTTGGCCTTTACCTACCATTAGGTTCACAACGTAACTCTCCAGTTTGCTCACTTATTCGGCAAATACCTGTTTTATGGAAGCTTCCAGGGATCCAACAATGAGTAAGATAACTAAAACCCCTGGTGTTATGGATCTTACATTTTACTTACTGAGACAGGGTGGAGACTGCAGGCATGTGAATAATATGTTCTCTTCAGGTTGATAAAAACTCAGCCCATTTTTCAACTAATATTAAGAACATACATTTGAAAAACTGCAAATATTCAAAAACCTAAAAATTTTGCAATTGGCATAGGCAAGGCAATTTTTTCACTTGATACAATGGAACTTTAATGATATGATAAACTAATTATCAACTACTTACCACATAGAGTTGTTTCCACAGACTGGCCCATTCTTGTAGAGTTGCTGTAACCTCAGTCACAATGGAATCTTCAAGAGGAACCACAGTTTCATACTGCCTACGACCACGAAAAACAGCCACATTATCTTTGATAAATTACCAGAATACTGTGTATTGCCCATTTCAACATGTGTGACTCAAATTTTAAATTAATGCAAATATAAAAAGAGGTACACCTAATTGATTTAAGATCCTTTGCATTAATATCCTGCAATAGTGTAAGTCAAACATGTCAAACTCGCGGCCCATGGGCCGCACGCGGCCCACAATGAATATTTTTGTGGCCCAGCCAATATAATGGTAAGTAGGAAACATTTTAATAAAAATTTCATAACTTAATTTTTACAATATCCTGTTATACATAATTATTAATAATGAACTACAACATTTGCTAATGACTGATTACTATAATCGCATTGCACGCATTTCCCTTACGCGCCTTACTCACAGGCGCACCATTTCTCTCCACTAATACTAGCAGCAAATATTTTAGCAACCAATTGCCACATCATTAGTCTTATACTGACTTGGTGTTCGCAACAGGAAATATTTCACTTTCGAAAAACAAAGAAAAATAGGTTTATTTGCATTACGCTTATTGATTTGTGGAGTTATTCAGTGTCTGGTAAGTTAATGTTCAAGAAAAAATATTAATTTTTATTAAAATATCCTATTATTTTATGTTAACAATGACTCATTTATTTCAGCCCTTTGTATTCAGCATGTCTCTATCGAAATAAACCTACATTTCTATGAAAATTTAAGCTTTTGTTTTTTTGTGGCCCACATAACCTTGTTTATTTGTCCCATGTTAGCCTTTGAGTTTGACATGGTGTAAGTGAACTGAATTAATGTAAAACATATGGGTTTTGATATATATGTACATACACAAACACACACACATACCGCTCTGTCTTCAATTTTACTTTTTTAGAAATACATACTGCCTTTAAGACAAACTTTTTAAAATACCATTTTCAGCTTTTTTCTCTTTAAAGAAAGACAATAAGCATTGCCCAAGTCTTGCTTATATTATTTTTTTTAATCCTCACCCAAGGATATTTTTTGATTTTTAGAGAGAGAGGAAGGAAGACAGAGAGAGAAACATCAGTGTGAAAGAGAAACATCTATCACAGTGGTTCTCAACCTTGGCTGCACATTAGAATCACCTAGGAATGTTTTTAAAATCCTGATTTCTGGGCCTCATCCTCCGGAAATTCTGTTTCTTTGTTATGGGGTGGGGCCACAACATTAGTAATTCCTGTAGGATCAATAACTTGGCCTCTCAATTCTTATTTTCCCTACTTCCTAGCCAGGCTACTTTGGTAAAGATACTTGAACTTTCAAAGTTTTGCCTATCGAATCTGAAATAAGCAGATAATCCCATCTACCAATCTGGGATTCCAACGTGTAATGTAATGGGTGTAATGTCTCAAATACAATGCCCAGGATATAAAATATTTAATAAATGATACCTATTGTTGACTCTTAAAATACTTAATATTTTAATTTTCACCCAGCCAGTGTGGATCAGTGGTTGAGCATCAACCTATAAACCAGGAGGTCATAGTCTGATTCCCAGTCAGGGCACATGCCTGGGTTGCAGGCTCGATTCCTGGCGGGGGGTGAGCAGGAGGCAGCCAATCAATGATACTTTCTTATCTCTGACATTTATCTCTCTCTCTCTCTCTCTCCCTTCCTCTCTAAAATCAATATATTTTTTTAAAAACATGTTTTTTAATTTTCATTATAAATTATCAAAGTGCATCTAGAATAAAGCAATATAAAAATGAGTTAAATTTTATATTGTACTTTTAAAACATATTTTGCAAAGACTTCTCATCAAAATAGCTCTATAAATTCATATTTGGCATATTTCCTCACCTCCAAATATATTGCAGGAACAAATACAAAACAGAAAACCTAATACATTTCTAAACTCCCAGATAAAATGAACATCTCAATAGAGCAGCAACAGTTCAGGGGGAACACACACACACAACAGTGAAAACCAGGGTGAAATCACAGGCCTCCCAGGCTTTGGAGTCAAAAGCTAGCAATGACAACTAGGAGCTTAGATGTAGAGGGAGAACAGGAACAAAAAGTACTCAAAAAGGCCAGGTTCACCACTTGCAAGATACCACTGAAGAGATCACCACTACCTTTTTACCCTTAACATATGCCTTCAATGTTTTTTCAATTTCTATCAGCAAAAAAAAAAAGATTTTAAAAGTCTCCCTCACTTTGATATATATAAACAAAATGTGAAATTTATCACTAACTCCTATTCTACCAAGGATTGTTCTTAAAATAGTACTAGTACATCATTTAAAAAAATACTGTATGCAAAATTGTTTTTATAAAATTCACAACTCAGGTTATCTTTCCAGGACACAGGAAAACAAATTAAAGTTGTCAGTATTTTAACAAAAATTATGTCCTCAGAATTACATATGATGAATAAAGCAAGTATATTTTTGGCAGGAAAACATGTCAATAGCATATATTTATACAATAACCAAAAAACAAAAAATCAAAACCAAAACCCTCCTCTGCAACCGACAAAAACTAAATAAATTTATTAAGGCCAACTACTCACCCCCTATTACTGACAATTGCCTTTTTTAAGTGAATGTAATTTGCAGGAAAGATCCCCTGTAAAAGAGAAAAGATTTTCTGTTAGAAAAAATAATTTGTGATTAATCTCTCACATATACTAAAACAAGTCAGATTTCAGCATAGAAATACTCTATCAACAACATAATAGATCTGTTGATATAGCAACCATTTTCCTAATTAAGAATGCAATGTTTTACAAATTATATTATATATTCATTGTCATTTTCAATCAGAGTCTATCCTCAGGGAAAAATTGTGATCTTAACTACAAACTATATTTTTTTTAAGTTACAGATTGAAAATATTCCATCAAATCAGTGTCAGGATATAAAATGTACAGAGCTTGGCATGGATCTAAAATCAACAATATTGTCTAGCCAACACCTCCCAGATTATTCTGCTCAGCGCTAGAGAAACAATTCTCAGACTCTGGCTAATATTTGTATTCAAAAGAATTTATCAATTTGGGAGCCTCTAAAACTAATTTTTCTTTTATTCTTTCTAAATGATTTCCACTTTGGTATTTGCCATAAAATGATTTCAATTCCTAATGGATAAAAAATGTATTTTGTTTTAAAAAATTAAGTTTTCCAATCAATGTTTCATCCTTTTCCTGATGTATGAAACTCCTTTCACATAAAACACAAATCACATTTTTTATTTCTTCTTTTACCCACAAATGGCCTAAATTTTTTATTTGACCATCACCACTAACAATAATAAACTCAATCTATACCACACAAGGCCATCAGCAGCTAAACTACAGTAATGCATTTTATAGTTTAGTGTACACATCTTTCACCTCCTCGGTTAAATTTATTCCTCAATATTTTATTGTTTTATGCCAGTGTGAACTGGATTGTTTTCTTTACTTCTTTTTCAGATATTTAATTGTTAGTATATAGAAACACAACTAATTTCTGTGTGTTAATTATATGTCCTGCAATTTTACTTAATTTGTTGATTAGTTCTAGCAGTTTTTTTGGTGGAACCTTAGGATTTTATACAAATAATATCATCTGCAAACAAATAAAATTTTATTTCTTCCTTCCCAATATGAAGACCTTTTAATTCCCTTTCTTACTAGCTAGGACTTCCCAGTGCTATGTTAAGTAAGAGTGCTGAGCCCTAACTGGTTTGGTTCAGTGGATAGAGCGTCGGCCTGCGGATTGAAGTGTCCCAGGTTCGATTCTGGTCAAGGGCATGTACCTTGGTTGCAGGCACATCCCCAGTAGGGAGTGTGCAGGAGGCAGCTGATCGATGTTTCTCTCTCATCAATGTTTCTAACTCTCTCTCCCTCTCCCTTCCTCTCCCTTCCTCTCTGTAAAAAAAAATCAATAAAATATATATTTTAAAAAAAAGAATGGTGAGAGCGGCCACCCCTGTCTATGTGATATTGGCTGTGGGCTTGTCATATATAGTCTTTATTAAGTTGGGGTATGTTCCTTCTAAACCAAATTTGTTAATAGCTATGAAAAACCTACTGAAATTCTTCTTGTGACCATATTATTAAGAAAAATGTATAGGGCCCTGACCGGTTTGGCTCAGTGGATAGAGCGTCAGCCTGCGGACTACTTAGGGCATGTACCTCAGCTGCAGACTCAATCCTGACCGTGTTCGGGGCACATGCGGGAGGCAACCAATCTATGTTTCTCTGTCTGTCTCTCTCCCTCTCTTCCACTCTCTCTAAAAATCAATGGAAAAAATATCCTCAGGTGAGGATTAACAAAAAAAAACACCAAAAAACTGTATTCATGCTATAAAGAGCTATTAATATTAATCTTGGGTCCACATGATAAAATAAGAACATACTGGCTTTCACATTAGACTAACTCAAACCTCAACTTGTAAGCATTGTGGGCTTGGCAAATTGCTTGGCCTTTCTGAACTTGAACATCCTCAACTATAAAATATAGATGATATCAGTACTTAGAAAGTAATTATGAGGATGAATGAGACAATATATCTGAAATTTTTAATACTGTATCAGGCACACAGTAGATCTTCGATAAATGTGAACTCATCAAATCTCACATGAAAAAAAAAGTATCTGGCCCAAAATATCCATAGTGCCTAGGATGAGAAGCCCTGGCTATGAGAATTTAAGGTTTGAAGATATTGTCTTCTCATAGTTATTACCTTAAAAACTAACCAATTAGCTCTGGCTGGCGTGGTTCAGTGGTTAAAGCGTCAGCCCACAGACCAAAGGGTTGTGGATTAGATTCCTGGTCAAGGGCATGTACCCCATTTGCAGGATCCCTAGCCCAGGTAGGGGCGCATGCAGGAGGCAACCAATCGATGTGCTTCTCTCACATCAATATTTCTCTCTGTCTTTCTCTGTCTCTTCCACTCTCTCTAAAATCAATGGAAAAATATCCTCGGGTGAGGATTAAAAAAAAAAAAAGATTTTTCAAATATATTGAGAAGAGTGTTCCTAAGTATATTATAACTGCTAATTAAAATATTATTTTGTTTGCTCAAATTAACATTAATTGGTAACAGAATAAACACATAAAATCTAGTTAATAAAATTAGTATTCTACACTTATAAGTCTTGTTTAAATTCATATTTTTAACAACATTATGATCAACAAAAAATCTAATTGAATATTATTTGAAAATCTTTTCATTTTGTATTTTACAAAACAAAATTCATCTAACTAATCACATGGCTCCACAAAACTGGGCCTTAGAACAAGTCGATTTAGTTTTGTCAACCAAACAACTTGTATGCATGCATATAAGCATAACCAATGGACACAGACAGTATGGGGGTGAGGGCATGTGCTGGGGGGAGGGAGCAGCTGGGGAGAGGTCAAAGGCGGGGGGGAGAGACATATGTAATACTTTCAACAATAAAGAATTTAAATTTTAAAAAATTTAAATGTCCTAATAGGCTTTTCCAAAATACGCTTTCCAGCTCTGGCCATATATGTATTTCCTATCCTTTAAAATAAGAACCATTCTAACAGTGCTGGACCGAGCAGAGACTGAGACGGCTCTGAGAAGGAAGAAAGGAGTGTGGCCTCTGTAAAATATTTTAAAGGGCAAGTAAGGATTGTTTTTATATAAAACAAACATACTAGGCAGCTCCTACATTAGAAAAAGTAATAAAATTATTCAGTACCTTTACATTTGGCTTCTTTGTGGAAACTCCTCTGTACCAACCTAAAACGAAGCATACAAAGGATATTAAAATCACATTGCTGTCATTTTCTGTGAGACATGAGCATTGTTAGAAAAAAATAATTAACTGTGCCTTCATTAGTAGTAATTTACTCCAAAAGGAACGGCCTTACAATAAATACAACATTCTCAATTGTCTTCAGAAAGGATAACGCCCTGGGACTAGGTCCATCTCTGCTGTCGTAGGGTAACATTTCCTTGTGTTTTTACAGCCAGGTGGCATTCCATTGTGTAAATGTACCACAGCGTTTTTATCCACGCATCTACTGGTGAACACTTGGGCTGCTTCCAAATATTGGCTATTGTCCTAGTAAATAACGCTGCAATAAACACAGAGGTGCATAGATTCTTCTGAATGAAGAGTTTCAGGTTTCTTCAGATATATTCCCAGAAGTGGAACCGCAGGGTCAGAAGGCAGTTCCAGTTTTAATTGTTTTCGGTGACTCCATCCTGCTTTCCACGGTGGCTGCACCAATCGCATTCCCACCAACAGTGCACGAGGCTTCTTGTTCTCCACAGCCTCCCAACACTTGTTGTTTGTTGATTAATGACAGGCATTCCGACAGGTGTGAGGTGATAGCTCCTTGCGGTTTTGATTTGCATCTCTCTGATGATTAGTGACTGAGCATCTTTTCAACTGTCTACTGGCCATGTGCATGTCCTCTTTGGGGAAGTATCTATTCAGGTCCTCTGCCCATTTTTTTTTTTGCCTTTTGTACAAAGTTTATATATATGTGTGTGTGTGTGTGTGTGTGTGTGTGTGTGTGTGTATACATATATATATATATATACACATATATACACACACATATATACATACATACATATACACATATATATATATATTATTTATGTACACAGACTCAAGGATATAAAGTCCAGTGAGAAGGGCTCACATGTGCCCAAGCAGGGGACAGGAGCGGCTTTAGCGCTGGGGTGGAGCCCACAGCAGAGGCACGTCGGAAGTAGTGGAGAGTAGCAGCCTCTCCACCATCCTCCCTTCCTGGACCAAAGGAAGGACCTGGGAGGAAGGACAACTAACTATATAAAGAAGATGGAAGATACTGGAAAGGTACCCCATCTTTCACTAAACTCCTGAATGCCCCTCAGACATCCAAAATACCTGGCAGGATAGATCGTTTCTATAGCTCCCAGCAAACTGCAGAGCCCACAGTAGTTCTGGCCCCAAACTGCGGTCTAAGGCAGGCTTTACAATGCACATACATGTCCAAGCTACCTTCCAGGGCCCTTGTAGCATCAAGCCAGCACCTTCAAGGTTCAGCCCCCAAACTGAAAAATCCTCTTGGACCACAAGGCTTAAGGGTTTTTCCTTGACAAAATTGTAGGGTAAAGGTATAGGGGACAAGAAATCAGTTCTTCAGCTAATGCCCTAAAGCCTTCTCAACAGAGGAGGAATCGAGGAATCACTAAGAGGTGGTTGGAAAGGGCAATGAAGATCATCCCAGGAGATGGTATACATGGAGAAACAGGTGTTCAATAATTCTCTTCAACTAGTGGTTGCTCAGCAGAGTCCATTCCCAGTGGGTCCATCGGCAGGAGCTCTTCTTGGTGTCTAAGGGTGACCCCAATCCCCCCAGAGTTCATGTCCATGGCTTCAGGATGGCTTGATCCACAAAATGGATAGAAGGGGCCATAGAATGGTAGATATGAAGGGAGTGGCAGGACCCAGAGGCATAGGGAGGCCATGTACTGTGCCACTGATTTACTTGGGGCAAAGAGAAGAGGTAAATGGAAGTCAAACAAAAGAAAATAACCAGAGTCTAAAATGAATGAGGTCCTGCGACTCACATGGTCTGGGGGGTAAAAAGGCTGGAAAGCTGGAAGCACTGGGAGGCAACTGCCCGAGAGGCAAGGTTCAGGGCTGGACTCAGAGCAGTCAGAGCTGCTGGGTTTAGGCCCCCAAGTGAACTGCTCCATTCAGCTGCAAAGCAGCAGCTTGGGCAGCGGCAGCAGCAGCGGCGGCTGTGGTTGGCAGCTGGATTCCAGAGCCTTCTGCCAATTTGGCCGTGAGCTGCAAACGTCCACCTGCTGATCCGATTCAGCTTCTGGTCTCCATCAGGAAAAGTGATGTCTGTGCCACCATCCAGTCGCTCAGTCACATGGCCAACTCTCATAGGTCGACCAGCAAGCTCAAGGCCATTCAACTGTTCCAGGGCCCGTCGGGCACACTCAGAGTCAGAGAACGTAAGGAAACCATAACCTTTAGAGCGGCCTGTATCTGAGTCCTTCATCAGGACAATATTATCAATTTTGCCAAAGGGCTCAAAGATGCCCCGGAGCATGTCCTCGGTAATACTGCAGTGCAGGGAGCCCACACACAGGCGCACTGGTCCACCACTGCCTTCTGCAGGTTGTTGGCCATGGCTGCCAGTCGGTTTTTCTCAGCCTGTGAGGCCTGTACAATGATAGGCACCCCCAGCAGCTGCTGCCCTGTCAACCCAATGGCCAGTGGCACAGACGGGATTTCACAGAATTCCACATAGGCAATGCCCTTAGAACGACGTGAGTTCCGATCTGAGATGACACGTACGTCACAAACCTTGCCAATAGCAGAGAAAAAGTCCTCCAGGTCTCGAGGCCGAACGCGGGCGACTAACTGCATACAGAAAGCTGTTCGGGCACCACGCTCCTCGGGACTCAGATTACCAATTGACTCCCTGACCGGACTCTTCTCTGAATGAGGACTCTTACTGTGTCCATCCCTATGCCCAGCGGCAAGTGGTGGACTCCTGCAGTGCACACGATTCTCAGGACGTGGGGCCTGACTCCTGGACTCACTACTATGTTGAAGATCCCAGCTTTGGCTGTGGTGACGATGCTGCCGATCTCGACTTCGGCTCCGACTACTTCTCCGTCTATGCCGACCCCGGTCTCGACTACGCTTCCTATCCCTGCTTTTACTATGGCTCCGACTCTTCTTGCCTCCGCACTGGTGCTGCTGCTGGTGTTGCTAGGGCCGAACTTTTTAACCTCCTTCCTTTGCTGCTCATCCTCCTCTTTTTTATAGGGAGCCTCCAGCATGGCCTCAATCACTACATCAAAGTCATCGGATGCCATCACAGCAGAGCAGTTCCGGGTCCCCGCGGGGGTAGGGGGCCCCGGTCTTCTCTGCTCCTTCGGGTTTGTTGGAGGGTGCGAGGCTCGGCTGTTTTCAGAGCCTCAGCAGTAAAAGCCCCACTGCAGCCGGAGCCGCTCCTCTCCCCGCAAAATGGCCTGCCCATTTTTTAATTGGATTGATTTTTTTGGTGTAAAGTTGTGTAAGTTCTTTAAAATTTTGGATATTAACACCTTATCAGATGTATCATTGACAAATATGTTCTTCCATTCAGTGGGCTGTCTTTTCATTCTGTTGATTTCTTTTCTGTGCAAAAAATTTTTAGTTTAATGTAGTCCCCATTTGTTCATTTTTTCTTTTGTTTCCCTTGCCCAAGGACATATTTTTAAAAATACTGCTATGAGAAATGCCCACGATTTTACTGCCTATATTTTCTTGTAGGATTTTTATGTTTTCGAGTCTTACATTTAAGTCTTTAATCCATTTTGAGCTTATTCTTGTGTATCATGTAAGAAGGTGGTCTAGTTTCATCTTTTTGCACATATCTGTCCAATTCTCCCAACACCATTTATTGAAGAGACTGTCTTTACCCCATTGCATGTTCTTGCCTCCTTTGTCAAATATTAATTGACCATAAAGACGTTGGCTTATTTCTGGCCTCTACTCTGTTCCATTGATCTACATGTTTGTTTTTTATGTCAGCATCATGCTGGGTTTTTTTTGTTGTTGTTTTTTAAATATATTTTATTGTTATTTTACAGAGAGGAAGAGAGAGGGAGAGTTAGAAACATCGATGAGAGAGAAACATTGATCAGCTGCCTCCTGCACACCCCCTACTGGGGATGTGTCCTAAACCAAGGTACATGCCCTTGACCGGAATTGAACCTGGGACCCTTCAGTCCGCAGGCCGACGCTCTATTCACTGAGCCAAACTGGTTAGGGCCACCATGCTGTTTTGATTACTATGGCCTTGTAGTATAGTTTGATATAAGGTCATGATTCCTCCAACTTTGTTCTTTATCAAGATTGCTGAGGCTAGTCAGGGTCTTTTGTGGTTCCATATAAATTTTTAGAATATTTGTTCTAGTTCCATGAAATACGTCATTGGTAACTTGATAGGAACTGTACTGAATCTATAGATTGCTTTTAATCATGTTAATTCTTCCTATCCAGAGTATTATGCTAAGTCAGTCAGTCAGAGAAAGACAAATACCATGTGATTTCACTTATATGTGGAATCTACTGAACAACATAAATAAAAATAGAAACAGATTCATAGATACAGAGAACAGACTGACAGCTGTCAGAGAAAAGGGGGTTTGGAGGACTTGGTGAAAAAAGGTGAAGGGATTAAACAAAACAAAAAATACTCATAAATACAGACAACAGTATGGTGATTACCAGAAGGAAAGGAGGGGGGGTGAATGGAGGTAGAAGAGGATAAAGGGGGAATAAATGGTGATGGAAGGAGACTTGAGTCGTAATACATTATGCAGATAATGTATTATAGAATTGTATACTTGTCACCTATATAATTCTATTAACCAATGTCATGCCAATAAATTTTTTAAAAAAGAACTTGGCAAAAAAAAAAAAAGGCACAAAGCTCTTTCAACTGAGTAAGATACAAAAAACTAGAAAAGACCTCGGAGGACATGTAATCCAACTCCATGAAACTCCCCAGAGGGCCTGGCCAGTGTGGTTTAGTGGTTGAGCATCAACCCATGAACCAAGAGGTCACTGGTTCAATTCCCAGTGTCAATGTTTCTCTCTCATTAATGTTTCTATCCTTCTAACCCTCTCCTTTCCTCTCTCTTTAAAATCAACAAGGACATATATTTTGTTAAAATCCCCAACCCAGCCTGTGTGCTCTGTGGTTGAGTGTCAACCAATTCCTAGTAGGGGCACATGCCAGGGTTGCGGGCTTGATCCCCAGTAGGAGGCGTGCAAGAGGCCAATAAATGTTGTTTCTCTCTAAAAACATCAAGAAAAAAACATCCTCAGGTGAGGATTAAATATGTATATATTAAATATATATTAAATATATATCATAAACCTAGATTCTAAAATGACACTTTATAAAATGTGATTAAAAATTAAGGTAATAAATTAAACTAAATCCCTAATTGAGATGTAATGTTAAATCCTATATTATACTGAAATCAGTAGAGATTTTAGAATTACGGTTTATGCAAACTGTATTATATTTAAGCAATCAGTCTACAAAGAAGATGAAAAGTACAGAAAATAGAATTTTAAACAAAATATAACCACATCAGACTGATGAGCAAAAAACAAATTGTAGATTTTAGAAAAACAGCTAGAAATGTGCTATACTTTAAAAGATAATAAAATTTAGAGAAACATTATACACTATTTACAGGTAATTAATATGCAAAAAAAAAAACACAGAAGAAACTGAGGATACCATAAAATTAGGAAAGGGGCACGTGTGTGTGTGTGTGTGTGTGTGTGTGTATGTGTATGTGCTTACTATCTACTATGTAAATATTTGCTGTGTGAATGGAGTAAGATAGGTATAGAGTTTACATTTGTCAACTTAATTCTGGATTACACCTTCTATGCTCGGTCATGCCAAATATACTTTATGTATTTTAAAATTTACTTCAAACCTGATTTTTTTAAAGGAAACTTTTAAAAAAATTTACTCCCATTAGGTTAGAAAAATAATCAGTAAGAAGAGAAATACAAATAAAGAAAAGTGGCTGTCTAAAATATTCTGGGTCTGTGCATATATATTTATATTAAAAATAAATTAATCTGAAAGCTATGGTTCTTTAAACATGTAGACAAACATAGCAGTCACCTGTGCCATGCTCTGTGCTAGGTGTTTTCATATCTATAATATCCAACATGGTGGGATCGCACTATGTTAAATATGCATTACTATTTAGATAGTGAAATGTAAGTCACCCAATGTAGGGGAGGCTATACTATCAAAAAGAGACAACGGTACCACTACAATTGCTACTGACAGGGAGGCTGCAGAACAGAGTCAGCAGTGTTAAACCAAAAGAATGAAGTCTTTATAGAGATCAGGCCATGTGACAGTCAACAGTCAGCAGTCCTTTACAAAGATTCTGGGTGCAAACCAATCAAGCCAGATCAAAAGCTCCAAATGCAGTCCAACAACAAGTACCCTTCCAACAAGAGGTTTCAAACTTTTTATTTCAAAGGTGTAGCATATACTTCCCTGACAGAAGAAAAAATGCAAATTTACCCCCACCCCCAAACCCAGGATAATGGCTACACAGAAAGTAGAGACAGGTAGCTGACAAGCACAAATCCTCAACAGAATATTGGCAAACTGATAGCAATACAGTAAAAAGATCATAAACCATGATCAAGTGGGATTTATTCCAGGGTGGCAAGGCTGGAACAGTATCTGCAAGTCAATGAATGTGCTACACCACGTAAACAAAAGGAAGGCTGAAAACCCAATGATCATATCGATAGATGCAGAAAAAGCATTTGATAAAATTCAGCACCCATTTATGATAAAAACTCTCAGCAAAGTTGGAATAGAGAAAACATACCTCACCTAATAAAGGCGATATATAATAAACATCATACTCAAAGGCAGCCGTGGGCAAACTACGGCCCGCGGGCCGGATCCGGCCCGTTTGAAATGAATAAAACTAAAAAAAAAAAAAAAAAAAGACCGTACCCTTTTATGTAATGATGTTTACTTTGAATTTATATTAGTTCACACCAACACTCCATCCATGCTTTTGTTCCGGCCCTCCGGTCCAGTTTAAGAACCTCTCTGGTTCTGGGGTGCGTCACCGGAGAACCACCACTGCCAAGTGACCACAGCTCAGCAGCTCCTGCGTTGAGTGTCTGCCCCCTGGTGGTCAGTGCCTGTCATAGCTACCGGCAGGTTGGATGGTCGCTTAGCCTTTTATATATATAGATAGCACTGGAAGTCCCAGCCACAGCAATCAGACCAGAAGAAGAAATAAAAGGCACCCAAGCCCAGCTGGTATAGCTCAGCAGTTTGAGTGTCCACCTATGAGCCAGGAGGTCACAGTTCAATTCCCAGTCAGGGCACATATCCTGGTTGCAGGCTCGATCCCCCGTGGGGGGCATGAAGGAGGCAGCCGATCAATGATTCACTCTCATCATTGATGTTTCTATCTCTCTCTTTAGTCTCTCTTCCCCTCTAAAGTCAGTAATATTATATTTTTTTAAATTAAAAATGGAACTGCAATTCCACTTCAGTAATTTATCTGAAGAAACCTAAAACACTAATTCAAAAGACTACCATTTACAACAGCATGGATGGAACTAGAAAGCACTATGCTAAGCGAAATAAGCCAGTCAGAGGAAGATAAATATCACATGATCTCACTCATACGTGGAATATAATGAACAACATAAACTGATGAACAAAAATAGAACCAGAGACATAAGAGCATCGGAGAGACTGCACAACCTATGAGGGAAGGTGGGGGATGAGGGGGTAAGAGATCAACCAAAGGACTTGTATGCATGCATATGAGCATAACCAATAGACACAGACAGTAGGGGAGTGAGGGCTTGTGCTTGCGGGGGGGAGGTCAATGGCGGGGGGGAAGAGACTCGTGTAATACTTTAAACAATAAAGAATTTTTTAAAAAGACTATATATACCTCTATGTTCATTGCAACGCTATTTATAATACCCAAAATTTGGAAGCAGCCCAAATGTCCATCAATTGATGAGTGGATAAAAAAGCTGTGGCATTTACGCCATGTAATAATACTACTCGTCTGTAAAAAAGAGAGAAACCTTACCCTTTGCAACAGCATGGATGGAGCTGGAGAACATTATGCTAAGGGAAATAAGCCAGTCAGAGAAAGACAAGTACCATATGATTTCACTCATATGTGGAATCTAATGAACAAAATGAACTAACAAGCAAAATACTGACAGACTTATAGAGAGCAGGCTACCAGTTGTCAAGGGTGGGGTAGGGGTTGGGGAGGGAGTGAAAGAATTGAGCAAAAAAAAAAAAGAGAGAAAAAACTCATGGACATGGACAACAGTATGATGATTGCTGGGGGGAGGAAGGTGGAGGAGGGTTTGGGAAATAAATGGTGGTGGACGGAGACTTATTTTGGGTGGTGAACACACAACACAGATGATGTGTTGTAGAACTGTGCACCTGAGACCTGCATAATCTTGTTAGCCAGTGTCACCCCAATAAATTCAATAAAAAATGAATAAAATAAATAAAAAAATTTTAAAATACCAAAAGGAAAATGGATGAATTGTCACCATACACAACAATATCGCAGATACACTCTTGGCAAAAGACTAATTCTAACAGTTATATGAAAATAGCTTGTACCTTTATGAAGAACAAAGATCAGGGAGGATTTTATAATAGTATATTGTAATGTGGCTAATTACAGCTCCAAGTGATTGCTTCTAATGTCACTAAATAATACTGCCCCAAATGATCACTGTTTGTATGTTTATAGCACCATACTCACCTTCGCATTTTTCAAGAATCTGGACCGTTTCTCCTATTTCTAAGACCAACCCTTGAGGAACAGATCCTCGAAAACTGCACGTCACTAGAAAAACAAGGATAAACATATCAATTAGCATTTTAAATACTGAGATAGGTCAGTGTTCCTGAAATTAAGCACCAAATTTTCTTAAATATATACTCTCCCCTCTTCATTAGCTCCCCTCTCAAATATGTAAGCTCCTTTCAATGTTATCAATATTCTGAAAGGCAATATTAAGTAGATCAGAACAATGAGTACATTTCAGCAAAATTACTATTCCTGAGTGGTGTGTGCATGTGTCTGAAAACACTTCTATAAATAGTCTCTCTCTCTCCCTCAGCCTGACCTGTTTGTACTTTTGGGGCAAGTATGTACCAATTACTTAAGAAAATATTAACAGTGGAAGTTTGTTATCTACTATAAATAGGTATTTTACAAAGATTCACCCACTAAATTTGATTATGCTTTGAGAAACAGAATATCAATAATAAAAATGGAAACAAAGTAATGAAATGAAAAGCAAATGTATAACAAAATCTACAGATATCAAAATCCCATCTTTTAAATTAATAAATTGATTCTAAAATTTATATAAGACTACAAAGAACCAAGAAATATTAAAGGCCTTCTATTACCATACATCAAGACTGATCTGGAGAAAATATTATCAATATCAGCACTCAAAACATGAAAAACATCCCTGGCTGGTGTTGCACAGTGGTTACAGCATCGGCCCATGCACCAAAGGGTTGCAGGTTCGATTCCAGATTAAGGCATGTACTGCATTGCAGGTTCTGGGTCTATGCAGAAGGCAACCAATTGATGTGTCTCTCTCTCATGCATGTACACTTCTCTCTCCCTCTCTCTCTCTCTCTCTCTCTCTCTCTCCCCCTCCCTCCCTCCCTCCCTCCCCTTCTACTCTCTCTAAAAATCAATGAAAAAATATCTTCTAGTGAGGATTTTAAAAAAAGACCACATTAATGTCATTAATAATCGACTTACATATAAAATTATATTACAAAAAAACTTTATACCAACAGATTTGAAAATTCAGAATGGACAAATTTGTCTTTTTATTTTTATAAAAAATAAAACATTAAAAACTGACAGAACAGTTAAAAACTTCAATAGTCCTATATGCATTATTGAAAAGTGAATCTGTAAGTCCCACAAATGAAATATAAGTTCCTGATTACTTTACCAATAAATTTGTCCAAACATTTGAGGAAAAAACAACAATCCTTTCAGAGAACGGGGAAAAGGAGATTCATTTTGAAATCAGCACGGTAATAAAATCTCACAAGCACATTATAAAAAAGGAAAGTTACAGGCCAATCTCTGTCATAATCATAGGAACATATGATTGTTTCTTGCTGGACTGAAAATAAAACAGTGAAGCTCTTAACAAAAATGTAAGATGGCATAACCCAATGGAATGTGGAAGAATCCAAATGATTAGTTCTCCCCCACACTGCTTAATTTCCACAGGCAAGACTTTCATTGAGTGGGTAGGTAGCAGGCTGGGTAGGCTAGAAAAGAAGAAAGAGGTCTTTGTAGTTTCAGGTACTTAAATACCAAAGTCCTACTAGAAAAAGAAGCCTACAACACATGTACAACAAACCACATTCTCAAAATAATTAGGCACCAGGATGAACTTAAAGTAACTGATGGTAATACCTACCCCCATCCCAGCTCAAAACATCCTTATTGTAGAAAAAAAACACACCTTCTCTGGGGAAATGATATTCCCTATTGTTCTTATAAACACAAGGTCCAGCATGAAATCAGACGATGACATACGGAAAGAACTGGGGGGGGATGTGGCCCACACTCAATACAATAAACCAAGTCAAAATAACCAGGCCCGCCAATGACCCAGACGGTGATACTAGCATAAGAGAACTTTAAATGACTAATATATTGAAGAATTGACAAAAGATTAATAAAATAAATGACAGTTAAAAGTTTTTCACAGAGAAATGAACTAAGTAAAAATGAAAATTTAGAACTGAAAATCAGATTATAAATTCCATGCCTAATGAAGATGCAGGCTCCATCCCCAGTAGGGGGCATGCAGGAGGCAACCGATCAAAGATGTTTCTCTCTCTTCAATGTTTCTATCTCTCTATCCTTCTCCCTTCCCCTCTCTCTAAAAATCAATAAAAACGTATTTTAAGCCAAAACCGGTTTGGCTCAGTGGATAGAGCGTCGGCCTGCGGATTGAGAGGTCCCGGGTTCGATTCCGGTCAAGGGCATGTAACTGGGTTGCGAGCACATCCCCAGTGGAAGATGTGCAGGAGGCAGCTGGTCGATGTTTCTCTCTCATCGATGTTTCTAACTCTCTATCTCTCTCCCTTCCTCTCTGTAAAAAATCAATAAAATATAAAAAAAAAACAAAAAAAAAACGTATTTTAAAAATGAAAACGGACTGATTTCAAATTGTCTAGACAGCATTTAGATCATTAAAATCACCTCCTCCAATCCATCTCAGTGTAAACCCCTTTCCTCAATGCGAGAAAATGACTAAGTTTATCCTCTGGAAGAGCAAATGCATTTTTACTCTGGACTGGGTACACAAGGCACATCTGAGAACTAGGGGGAAATATAAAAATGGGAGGATCGTGTGTACACAGAAAAACAAAACAAAACTCCAGCCCTCTTCCAACTCTGGGCTCTCAGAATTCTGCTAACCAAACCTTCTACCCTTCAGGCATTCTCATGCTATTCATTTAGAATTAATGGAAAGAGCCCTCAAGTACCCAATATATTGAACAAAAATAAACTCACACTCAAGAACATATTGCAAAATTTGGGAACATATTATAAAATCTCAGAACCCTGGGAGAATTGTGGTTCTATTAATAAGCTTCCAAACAGAAAAATAGATTGCACCAAAAAGATCAGGAATCACAGACTTTTTAATTCTAACAATGCAAGCCAGAAGACAATGGAACAATGCCATGAAAATGCTAAAGGAAGATGATTTCTAAAGAATTGGGATAAAATTAAGACATTTCCAGACATGCAAATGTCTTATACAGAGTAGGAAAAAACAAACTAAAACCACTTTGGGAGGTAATTTGGCTTTATCTTCTCAAACTGAACTGTGCATGTGCTATAATTCAGCAATTCCTCTCCTAGTCACATACCCTAAGAAAAATATACATGTACGCCAGGAGGCAACACAAGAAGATTCATAACAACACTGTTCTTAATAACAAAAGAGGTAAAATATAAATATCAACTGACAAAAAAATGGATTACTAAAATACAATATAGTAGACCTACACACAACTGCTAAATCTTAGACTTACATTAACTTTTTAAATCTTTATTTACTTATTTATTATTTTGTTAATCCTCACCTGAGGATAATTTTCCATTGCTTTTTAGGGAGAGTGGAAGAGAGAGGGAACGATAGAGAGAAACATCCATGTTAGAGAAACACATCGATTGGTTGCCTCCTGCACAAGCCCAGACCAGGGCCAGGCCTAGGAGGAGCCAGCAACCAAGGTACGTGCCCTTGACCGGAAACAAACCCGGAAGGAACCCTTCAGTAGGCAGGCCGACACTCTATCCACTGAGCCAAACCAGCTAGGACACATTAACTTTTTATTGTTTAAATTGTAAGTTGATTTTTTTTCTTTCAGTGTATAGTTCTATGAATTTTAGCACATGAATAGATTTGTGTTACCACCACCACAAACAACATTCAGAACAGTTCTACCTCCCCGCTCCCCCCACCTCATGCTGTGTCTTGAGTCACACCTTCCCCCCTCTCTCCCCATGGCAATTGATGATTGGCTTTCTATCACTATAGTTTTGTCTTTTGGAGAATGTCATTAAAATGGAATCATATGTTTCAAACCTTATGACTGACTTCATCACTCAGCATAACCCTTTTGAAAGTCATTCAAGGAATGTATCAACAGTTCATTCCTTCTGACCATTGGGTAGTAGCACTCCATTCTAAGGCCATACCAGACTTTGTTTATTCACCCAAATCGCAAAGTGAGCCCTGGGTGATGTAGATGTAGGACAGATTCAATACCAAAGGCTCAGCTCATTGCCCACTGGCATGCTTTCTTTTGTACAGACTCTGTTCAATCTTTCATCCATTCTTTTATTATGTTATTACTGAGTTTTGAGATTACAAGTCATTTGCCATATGAATGTTTTACAAATGTTTTCTGCAGGACTGTGGTTGTCTTTTAGATTTATTTACTGTGTTTTGAAAAGTAAAAGTTTGTAATTTTGATTAAGTACATTTCATCAAATTTTTCCTTTTAGTTTGTGCTATTTGTGTCCTATCCAGGAAATCTTTGTCTAACCCGTCTTCTTTATTTTCGTCTAGAAATTTAACAGTTTAGCTTTTAAGTCACTGACACATTTGAGGTTAATTTTTCTGTGAGAAAAAGGTTGTTATATCCAGGAGGTGAATTTTATGTTTCCAATACTGTATTTTTCACTTATAGAATTTCTATTTGGTTTTATTCTATTTATCTTACTCCCATGAAGTATCTTTTTACTCACAGGGCATACTTTGTTCTACTTCAGTGAAGATAGTTTTAATTTTACTTTAAAATTTTACTTGCTAGTTCCAACACGACTCACTAAGGCCACATGTGGTTGCCTCTTTTCTCTCTTGTTGCTTCATATGTCCAGTAATCGTGGACTTGTGTCCTTGCCATTATTAATTTTAACTCGTGAAGATTAGAGTCTCTGTCATTGAAGCACCGTTTCTTTCATCTAAGCAGGCATTCTACGGGTGACTGACACTGCAAACGTGTTTCTGGGCTGCAGCTCCAGGCCCGGTTCAGATCTGCTAGCTGGGCTGCAATGAGCTTGTTCTGTGCAGGCCCGTTCAGGGACCAGCGAGAACTGTGGGCAGAACCTCAGGATCCTCTCTCAACCTTCCCCTCTCGTGATTTCCACATCCTGTCGAGCGGCGTGATCAGCATCATCCTAGTTTCCCAGCCACAAAGACCGATTTCTCCACCGCCACCCCACACCTTCCTAAGAGCTGTGAGAACAAAAACATACTGCACAGTTCCCTCCTCAGTCTGTCCTCCACACCGGTCTCTG